CAGGACCTTTCTTATGCTAATGAAGTGGGTTTGCACACAGGTAAACACATTAATCAAACGTGGAAAATAATATTTGTGATAATATTGAATGACCAAATCTGGGAGATTACAGATAGTACTGAAGTTCCTTTTAGGAAGTCAACAAGACTTTTTTTTACATTTTTAACAAGACATTAATTACATATAATAAAAAACTATGACTTTCGGTGTTTAGCTGATGCCTAAACACACAAATATACGAACTATAATAATAATAACCCACATGCATTTGTATCATCATTCCAGCATACAGACAGAAAACTAAAATCAAATGCACACTGCAGCTTTTATTAAGTAGCTGTTGTGCTTGCCCAGAACTAATAATAACATATACCAGTACAGTAGGGGAATTAAGCAGAATAAGTAGGCGAAAACACATGACAAGGAATGATGGATATGTCATACAATAGAATAATATATAATATAATAGTGCATTATCACACTCAGTGGTCATACCGTGACCACTTACTAAAGGAAAAAAAACCTCGAAACTATTGAGAGTTGTATGTTTGACGTGTCCTGATATACACTGTTAATGAACACCTGCGAGCCAACCAGAGACAAATTCACAGCCGATTGGAGGATGCGTTGCGTAAGTGTCGACGGTGGATGGTTAATGCAAGTGTAAGATAAGACTGACATTATTAAGGGTAGTTAGAATGGCCATCAGATCAAACCACCATCACTGTCCATTTCCTGGATTCAAAGCAGCAGCAGCCACCCAGAGTGAAGCAGAGAGAAAGAGGGATGTTAAGTGCAGCTGTAGGAGTCATTATGTAAAAGCATTAACGGTCTCTGTCCTCACATGCAGTCATGGCTCCTGTGACTGTGATGGTGTAGTAGGTGTTGTGGAACGTCCTACTATAATGTTGTTTTCTTGAACAAATCCCTCACACTTTTTCAATACAAGGTTGACAGTATCAAACCTGGCTGGAAATCAACTGCGGGTCTGGCAAACAAACATAATGAGAGATTCTTTTTCTCATTTCTTGTTGCTTCTTGTGAGTGTCAGGCAACACAATGAGCAGAGGATTCAGTGGTTTTGCATTGAACTTAATGTCTTAGCAGCCACATGCTGGCAATAGTGCCAATGACAGGTCTATGTTTAACATGAATATGTTTTACAAATGAAGGTGGTGGTGGAAAAACAAGACCAAAACCAGAAGAGAACAATCTAAACATATTCTTTCTTACTTTTGTGGACATGTACACGTGTAATATGTAGGAAATGTTGGGTTTTTTGGCACCTCTCACAGAAATCAGGTTAAGGTTAACTCCTTTATACCCCCGTACAGACCCAACAGGGTACACATGTTATCAGTCCTCACTTTATGATCATGCCCAGCAGTAAAGAGCATAAAACTACAAAAGCATCACGCTCATTCACATCAATAGGTTTGAATGTGACACACCATTTTCCTTTGTTAAATGGGTTTGTGCAAAAATGAAAATAAAAATGGCAAAACCAAATTAAGGCTTTGTGCTCATACCCTGGACAACTTTTAAGTTTGTATAAGATGTTATTTTCCGTGAACAGTGAATCAACCCCTCCAACACACACGCACACTCCACCACCGCCACAGCACAACAACCAGCTGGGCCCAAGAACAAGAAGGCCTTTTCACAACTCTTTCAGCCAGTGTGAGTACAGTAATATCACATTCCTAATCCCTGCTGACAAGAAATGAAGTTGCAAAAATGAAATGAACAGGAATGGCTCCAAAGCCTGAAATAGCTGCATCAGACAGGAGTCTCGGAGAATAATGTAATTGGGGTGCTTAGTGACAAGCCGAGCAGAGAGGGAGGGAGGGAGGGGGAAAGTTCAGAGCTCTTCCGGGCTTCCACACAATATAAGAAGGCACATGTGTGTGAGACAAAATAATTTGTTAAAATGAGAGGTAAAAAGGCAGAGGAAGGTTCAGTGACAATATGCAGCTGTGATTTTAAAGAATCGAGATGACAGAGGGTAGTTTTGTTTATTAAATCCTTCAATATGAATTAATTTAACCGTCTTTAATAAGGTGTAATGAATGAGTGTGACATAGTATGAGTTTTGTATAGTCACATCCTATCTATTAGGCTAATTTGTCACTTTCAATACCTCCTATCTACCTAAATGTATCTTTACCTAAATTATGAAAACACATATACTGACTTAATTTACTTCAAGTATCACACAGTACTAAGACAGCATATATTTATGTATTTCTCTTTGTGTGTCAAAACCCTTTAGATGATATTTCTTGATTATGATGGAGAGAGATTGAGCTGTCAGCCGCAATAAGTCAATAGAGCTCCTGTGCAGTGTCTGCCTTAGGCGAGCGTCATTGTAAAAGATGAAATGCCACAATCACTATCACCAGAAAGATTGTGAAAAGTTTATTCTTAGGGCCCTTCTGATTAATGTAAATTACACCTTTCTGCCTACAACTGGCAGGAGCGGAGAGATCTCACAATCTCCAATTCTCCTTTTTCTTCACTTTCTCTGCTCAGCTGCTGATTTAATACCTCAGTGTGTCACTTCTTTCTTCCATTTTTACATTAAGTCTTTATTTCAAACATCACACATGAGACTGTTTATGTGATGTTCTCTCAGCTGCACTATGGCAAACGGTTGCATGCTTTTGGTTCTGATGTTCTTTGCAAATCAATAAATCAATAGAGGTTTTCTTTTTAAATAATGTGTTTGAATTATTTTTCCTCACAGGCTGAGAAGTAGCAGCGCTGCTTAAAGGCATTTCAGTATAAATGCTGTAAAATGGCCGGATTAGAAGGATTTTCTTAAATGTTGAGTCAGTGGAGCCAATCAAGCCCAGATCAGTATATGGTGACAGGCTGGAGTTTAAACACATTTATGAACCTACAATAATTCAAAATGTACCCATTCATGCAAGATACAATTTTGATTTCAAGATTAAAGATTGAATCCCTGTATTATCTCTTTAACTGCTTAGATTTTCTTCATTTATCCAACAGTCTTTCTCTGATGAGTCATGTTTACAGTGTCCTTAGTATTGCCAAAGACTTTAGGTGACCAACAGCTTAGCACCCCTCCTTCTTCTTCTTCTCTCTCTGTCTCTCTCTTTGCCTCATTTCTACCAATTCTTATTGGTCTGAAAATAGCGGAAATGTGTTATACCTGTAGCCATGGAAGCGGCAGTGAATCCCACTTAGCCATCTCGCTGGGAGGCAAAACCCTCTCATTTAGACACACACATGCAAAGGATATGCAAGCTGCCACCTGTGATTATGGTGCAGTTACATAACAAGGTTTACAGTCTGGATGTGTGAACCTTGTGATCTACTGTTCTCCAGGCTTGCGGCGCCACGGCGTCGAAGCCTTACATTATGCTGGAACCGGTACAGTACCTGTTGCTGACACAGACCGAGAGGCCCTTTAAAAGGACGCTTTGAGCTCCATTAGTTGACGTCCACGGCCAAGCACAATAGCCTGGTGATGATCACACACAGGCTATTGCAAATCACCCTCAGAAGTCTGAAATCAGAGGCTGTGAGGGAGAGCGAATAGGAGCAGAGAGAGAGAAAGAGGAAAAAAAGAGAGAGAGGGTTCCTGCACTGGTGAATCAATAGTGATAAAGCTGGGGCTGAGCCAGTAAGGCTGTATTAATGAAATGAAAAAATTAAATGAACAGGAATGGCTGCAAAGCCACTGTTCCTGCACTGATGAATCATTAGTGATAAAGCTGGGGCTGAGCCAGTAAGGCTGTATTTAGAAACTTCTCACTCTTTCAACCCCCTCCCTTACTAATTGTCATCTCTTTTAGCATTTGACTGATGACTGTCTCTCTGGAAAGACGTGAGAAAAGGGTAGCAGGCACTCAGCTCTGAGGATAATGTCGCACTTTGAAGCTGTCAAGGGTAACGGCAATGTAGTCAACAGTGGCGGTGACGGAGAAAAAGCCACAGCCTGTTCCCCAAAAACAACTGAAGGCAACAACCAGGGACACTGAAGAATTTGTCAGAGATACAGGCGTAGACACATCGAGACAATAGTCTGTGTAAACACTGAAAACAGCTCTTCCTTGGGAGTTTACCGTGTTTTCATAGACTTTAAAAGTAGAACAGTGTTAACAAATATTATAAAAGAGCTGACTAATAGAGTGATTGGCACACTTCAATTCTAATCTCTCTGACATGGGAGTCCTGGTGTGGCGAGACTGCCGTACTGTCAAACCCAAATCCTCGGGTCAAATCCTGTTGATTAGTTGTTGGTGACAAGTGTGAAAGGCATCACTCTGTACTGAGACAAAGCACCCGGCAGCATGATATATCGATACACACCCCGTGCTGCACAGCATGCATAGAATCTTTCATTATGGAAAGATTATCGCAGGATGAAAAGATACAAGAAGATTTGCCCCGGTCGTGTACAACAGTCAATATATTCTCACCTGACCCGATGCTGCAAAGTACAGGTGAATTTGATTTAGGCTGAAGGAATTACCACTCGTTACTCAGCTCTTTTGTATGAAGGACTTATCTAAGAGTAAAAGCAGAACAGATGGGCTCGAAAGGCAGAAAACTCTGGGCTGTTAATTTCATGTGAGAAGTCTTTGTGAAAGCCTTTCATCTTCATCATGTTGCTTCCATTTACTTTTGATTAGCAGCTGATCAAATACAATGGTGGATTGTCTGCTGGAGTTTTCTGAATGATACGTCTGTGCATCAAGTTGCTGTCAACTGGTAGTGCCATGATGTGGGAGGGAGGGAGAGAGACAAGAGAGAGAAAGAGAGGAGGGGAGGAGAAAAGAGAGAGAAGGAGGGAGGGAGGCTGCAAATGGCAGTTTTCTGTGACACCGGGAGGGAGGGAGGGAGAGACAGGGAGGAGAGAGAGGGAGAGAGCAAAGAAATAGTCAGTGGGAGAGAGAGAGTGTGAGTGAGAGAGAAAGAGAGAGAGAGAGAGAGAGAGAGAGAGAGAGAGAGAGAGAGAGAAAAGACCAGCAGTCCAAGTAGATCAGATTGCAAAAGATTGATAAAGAGAGCTGTTCAGTTAATAAGCAGTGAGGGAGTATTGTACAGTTTTATGGGAAATGTGAAGGGTAGACTTCATGTTAGTATAGATGAAGGATAAGCAGAAGAGCAGCTAAAGGAAATGCTTCAGAAGATGGAGATACAAAAACCTGCATTTTCACTGGGATGATCCTCGTTAAACGCTTCGTACCTATTTTGCACGTCCAGCACTGACTGACTGGCTTGGCCCAAGGTTCTGGTGCGATTTAGCCTGGTCGGAGCTGCGTTTCATCTTCACTCGCAAACTGCACCTGAAAAAAAGAAAAAGAGAGAGAGCCACAAGGGATCAAGCAAGGATGAAGAAATTCAAAGGGGGTCTGTGCCTTGTGCTGAAGATGATGGAGTGGTTTTCTCCAGTATTAGAGTAACACACAAAGAAGGAGCAGCTGCGGTGGCAGATGCGGAGAATGTCTCAGTTTGGTTAACAGGGATACTGGGAGAGAAGATAACACCTTTTACTTCTGCAGCCTGGGGGAGGACAGGTAGAAATAAAGGTAAGAGGAGGGCAAAAAAACTTCACCTCAAACTTGCAACCTGAATGTCAAATCAATATTTGTCAGATGTCACTGTCCTGTAGTGTTATAAAAGAGGCACTGGATGCCAATGTCTACTCTTAGGCATTCTCTTTGGAGCAGCAACCGTCACCCTTTTGAAATTTAAATCAGACATCTAATGTTATCAATTCATACATTTCTTTTTAAAAAACAGTTGTTCGGAAACAGTGTATGGAAATTATTTTAAATTAGAAAGAAGTGACTGATTGCATAGGATTTTTTGCAAACTAAATTAAATATGGTGACTTAACGTTTTTGTCCCCTAACTTGAAGAGAATGTATAAAAAAATTTAAAATTCTTTGACTATTCATCTGATGCAAATGTAAACACCACAACTGAAAGCTGAAAGTCATTGCCGCCTTAAGCTTTTTCTGTCTATTTTTGCACCCGAAGGATCTCATGCAGGGTTGATCACCTTTAGCCTATAGCTTAGATTTTGGAATGGCCGAGAAGGCCCTGCCTGTCAATATCAGGACGTGACATCGACAGACTCCCAGCTCCCAAAGGGTTAAAACAACAACAACAACAACAACAACAACAACAACAACAACAACAACAACAACAAAAGACAAAGACAAACCTTACAAGAAATAGGTTAAACAACAATTAAATCCTGGAGTTAACAGCCAATGACGTTTGACTCTAAAATAACGTGGGTTTTATATCTACATTGCCTTGATCCATATTACAGCCACAAGACATGAGAGGAAGAGCAGAGTGAGAGGATATAAATGCATCATATAGCATGGCAAGTTATTCAGAAACCGTGATGGTCATTACTTTTTACATTTGATGTAATGAAATAAAACAAATTAATGACAGAAATTAAATCAATTTGTTTTGTTTAAAAAAAACAGACCAAAAAGACAATATTAATGATTGGTTTTAATAATGCAACCAGTAGAATCACAAATTCAGTCAATGCAAACAAACACTTATTTCAGCATTAAAGCATCCCTTTAACTTCAACAAATACCATGATCATAAAGCCACTGGTTACCACTTAAGCACCTTTTAGGCGCCTAATTTCCTGGTAGTGTTATATCAGATAACTAACTGTAGCACCTAATTTAGCATGAGAATACTAAAGGACAGACTCGAGCAAGTATTAATGGATAAATGTGTTGCTTCAGGTACTGCACTTTTCTATCAAATCACTGATGTGAGGGTACAAAAGAGGCAGAGGATGAAGAGAATGAAGATTATGCAGCATTGCCTGACAGTTCAATGACCTCATCCTTCTTTTCATCTCAGCTAAGCTCAGTTTGATTCACTTTTATTGTTCAAAGGGGATATTTAGCATGCAGTGGGACACAGTTTATAAAATATAACACATCTACAAAAAAAGGTACAGCATCATATCATGCTCGTCCTCTTGTATGACTTAATGTATAACGTCTAGCAGCAAGCTTGTGTGCTCTAACCAACAGGTGTCGCTTAAAATTGGAAATTACAGAGTTCAGGTTTAATATGGGTGATTCAGCCTTTGTGAATGGGTACAAGTAATTAAAAAACTGCACAAATAAAGATCAAAAAAGCCCAGTGAGAAGCTCACATGTGGGAATGATCAATCAATGGGAACCAGGTGTTTGAATGGTGAAAAAGCTACAGGTGCAGCTAGCAAAAAATTTTCAAAAAAGATTTTGTTCTACTTGTATAGAATATACCAGCTGTTATAACAATGTGAGAAGGTGACTCAGTTCTTTACGAACACTTCTCTCTACATCCACCTGAGATGGCATCTCGGCACAGGGGATGGCCTACATACCGAGTCTAACAGCCTCCAGGGTTGGACATTGTCTGGTTCTAACTTATGCTGTCTTTGCCTCTTTGTCTAGAAGTTACAGCCTTTTAAATGACAAAGTGTCCCCGATTATTGCATTGAATTTGAAAACAACAAGAAAAAAGAAGCTGTGAACTAGTTTGTATAACATACTGTCAATCAGACAACATCTGTCTGTGGTGATGTGGTGTTATTTTCTATAGGAAAATACCTGTAGGTCACTTGAGACGAGATGAGTTCCGCACGGTGAGCTATAGGAAAATACAATGACACCTGAGCCTCTGCTCTTCCTTCACAATGGCCTTGGGAGGTGGGCCATGATCGTAGTGGTTGAGCTCAGTTTCCTGCATGCATGTCTTGAGATGAAGTACCCTCTCCTACCCCACCACATTGTCCCTCTCAATCCCCTCTATTATTTTGCGCATGCAATTATTCATTCTATTCATCTTAATCAGCTGCAAGCTTATCGTCTCCCCAAGTCACTTCTCTCAACTCCCTAAGAACACACACAGCTAGTCTAGGTCACAAAAGGTTATTCATGAAATTATTGGCTGTAGTGCAAATCACTTTCTGTGTCCTGTCTTATGAATCAAAGATGCATTAATGGCCTCCCTCTGAGCTGTCATTTCACGCTGTTTGTAGTACAAGTGTTTCATGGTAGTGCTGTAGAGCTCTAGGAATTAACAACTGGTATTAAAGGCCAAATCTGTGATCCCAAACAAAGAGGTCGAATCCCCATCATCAGGACTAAAAAAAAAAAAACTGATCGGAACCTGCTATCACTTCCTCAAGGACTGACACGTCTCTCGATACAAAGACTAACACTAGACAGACAGGCAGACAAACAAACAAACAGACAGATACTTCATTTATCCCTTGGGGATATTCTTATGTCACAGCTGAGAGCTGTATGATGCATTAGCAAGTATATTTAGTTGGTGTCTTTTGTTTGTTCCTGTGTAGGTTCGAACCTTTTTGTGTGAATTTGAAAAAAAGACAGACTGTGCCATTGCAGGTTCATTTACATTGTTAAAAACAGCACTAAAGCAGACATAATTAACAGAAAGTGCTTTTTTTTTTCGTCTATACAAGAAGCTGTTCAAATACATGTGAACATACACTACCTGTAATTAATATGGCTACTGATTGCCCTTTTCACTTCTAATTTATTTGAATTAAGTCAAACAAGATACATAGCTCTTCAGCTGTCACCAGCAGTAGCTTAATCTAATGTAAAATCTTTAAGCACCATGTACACTGCACATGCATCTCAAAGGCACAATCTGATTTAAAGAGCCTCCCATGTGGCTACGGCAAAGGCTTTCTGCATGGGTTGAGACTCTACGGCACTTATCTAATGACTCCAAGGACACAGGGAGGGTTTTTACTTTCATTTGACCAATTCACTGGACACCTGACACTGTACGACTACAATATGATATAGAGACTGCGCACCATCTAGGGCTGCTCGGGTCATGAGTGTTGTGTAGAGACCAAGATGTATAATGTGTAATGCTGAGAACACGTTCAGGCTCAAGATTCATCTCAATTATATAACACAGTCAGTATTGGTTGCTTTGTCATCCACCCGAGCCCACCTGTCACTCCATGGGTGAGGTTAAAGAACCATGCTTAATTAAACTGAGTAAAAATCAAGCGTTAGATCAGTTCACATGTTTAAAGATTTACATATTTGAGAGTAGAATTATTATTTTTTGCATTAACAGCTGTGCTCTTCTGGGAATGTAGTGTGATATTGTCAAAAGGCAAAAATCCTTTGGAAGTATAAAAATAGAACATAACATTTGGCTACATCAGCTACAGTACGTTTTCCTGATGTAGGTATGCGTTTGACCCCTAAGGGACAATTGTAAGATTGTGCATGAGGTAATCTGTCTGCAGATCAGGAGAACTTCCACCTGAAAGAGTGTGAGTGCAAATGGAATTAGTGTGACTGTGTGGCAGACGGCAAGGCACTCGGGATTTGGGAACGCACATGAGTGAACTGTCAAGTCTTCAGGGCCCAAATCAGGCAGGCAGACACAGAACGGATGTGGCCAGGCGATAAAAGCTGTCTGCACCCAGAGGGGCCTCGGTCCAGCTCCCTTGGGTAAAAACCCTTGACCCTGAGGCTCAACATCCAGTGCAGTGGCCAGGTTATCCGCTGCCTGGACGAGAAAATCATTTGACAGCCGTACTAACTAACATTTTGACACATACACTATGAGTTGTCGTGTGTTGTATGTCTAATCTTGTAATATTCTTGTAAGCTAAAGTTTCAGGATGTAATTACAATGAATATGTAATACAGGGCATTGCATGGGGGAGAAATCTACTCCAGTACCTACTTGTATAGAGCACCACAGGACGTTGGTATAAATTTACTGCATCCTCACAGAATGATTAATAATACTGCAAATTGTACAGAATGAGGTCAAATAAATAGAGTCCTTCTCTCTCCACCCCTGTACAGAGCATCTGGAATTGCATGTCCATGGAATCTGTGGCACAAATACAAATCCCCAAGGAGTATGTTTAAATACACACACACATACCCCTCTACTGCCCTAACAATGGGAAACTTAGAACAGACAGAAGAGAACAGCTTGTCTGTTGTGATGGCACGCTGCTGATAAACTATAAATACAACTGAGACAGGCTGAAAACTAACATGTGATAGCCTTCCCTATCACTAGTAGGCCTAAAATATGACAGCCTTCTCGTTTCATAAAACACCTAACGAGATAAAGGTAGTGACTTGCATGATGGTACGTTATTTTCATTACATAAAAACAAACATCTGTTAGATCATGTCTCCACTGCCAGCCTTCTTTAAGATTTGAAAGAGAAAAGCATAGGAAATGCCATGTGACAGAAGTGGATCTGCTGTGAGGCCAGCTCTTCACTTACCCAGCCAACATCAAAAGACATGAGGACCCTTCAGTGAGGGCCAATTGGATTTTGAGTTGTGATGTTTAAAGAGAGCAAGATGGCGAGGAGAAGGAGTGTGAAGTAACTGGAGTCACCGGTATTATACATACTAACACTATAAACCTTGTACTGGGAAATGGGACAGGAAAAAAGTGTTCTCATAAACCATAATCTCCATCTCCATTGTTCCCTATTATATATTCCTATTATATTTCTTATCAGAGATTTACAAGGGTACAAATTTATCTGAAGCTGAACTCCAGTTAGACTGACTGCGTTAGTTAATGGGAAACGTTAAAATAAAAATACACATGTCACATTAACAGAGGAATAGATGAGAAATATGTGGTAGTCATTTTTCATCCTTTAAAGGTATTGAGAGAAACTCCTGATAACGTCCGTAACGACGTCAGTCATATAATCCAAAATCTTTTTTTATTCAAATTAGAAGAACATGTAAAAAACTGTAGATGATGATGGTGAATTGGTCACAGATTGGACAGCTAATTCAGTGCAATGATCTACTAATATCAGGGGTCTTCTTTTTTGGGCCAGTAGCAAAACTATTTAGTGTTACTTATGTAACAGTGTTTTGAAATTCGGTCACTAAAAGCTTTCATGGTTGGTTATTTGGTGATGTTTCATACACAGGTATGGTGTGATTTGACCATTATGTCATAGAAAGACGCTGACATTGTTCTCCTCTCCTGACACTCTCTACAGGGACTGGATTAAAGCCCAAGGCTCCCACCCAGCTCCCTGTCTATGACTCATTAAAATGGAGCTCAGCCAGTGATCCAGCTGTGAGGGGCCTCGATCACACACTGGGACTCTAGGCCTGCCCTTCTGCTCTGACCCTGCAGCTGGAGGCGCCGCCGGGAGCATGAGTGTAGGAAGGATCAATCGCTACAGCATTGTGTCATCTGAAGAAGAGGGCCTCCGCCTCACTACCATGCATGGCATGAACGGCTTTGGCAATGGCAAGATCCACACACGCCGCAAGTGCCGCAATCGCTTTGTCAAAAAGAATGGCCAGTGCAATGTGCATTTTGCCAATATGGACGAGAAGTCGCAGCGCTACATGGCCGACATCTTCACCACATGTGTTGATATTCGCTGGCGATGGATGCTGGTAGTCTTCACTCTTGTATTTGTTGTCTCTTGGCTAGTCTTTGGCTTAGCCTTTTGGGTTATTGCTTTGTTGCATGGAGATCTGGATAACCCAGCTGGAGATGACAACTTCACTCCATGTGTCCTACAGGTCAATGGATTTGTGGCTGCCTTTCTATTCTCCATTGAAACACAGTCTACCATAGGTTACGGCTACCGCTGTGTGACTGAGGAGTGCCCAGTGGCTGTCTTCATGGTGGTCTTCCAGTCCATAGTGGGCTGCATCATTGACTGCTTTATGATTGGTGCCATCATGGCCAAGATGGCGAGGCCTAAGAAGCGAGCACAAACTCTGTTGTTTAGCCACAACGCTGTCATTGCCATGCGGGATGGAAAGCTGTGCCTCATGTGGAGGGTAGGGAACCTTCGCAAGAGCCACATTGTAGAGGCCCATGTCAGGGCACAGCTCATCAAACCTAGGATCACTGATGAAGGGGAATATATTCCTCTAGACCAGATAGACATTAATGTGGGCTTTGATAAAGGCCTGGACAGGATTTTCTTGGTTTCACCAATCACGATTCTCCATGAGATAGACGAGGAAAGCCCCCTTTTTGGGATCAGCAAACAGGACTTGGAGACAGCAGACTTTGAGATTGTCGTCATCTTGGAGGGAATGGTTGAAGCAACCGCCATGACCACGCAGGCTCGCAGCTCCTATTTAGCCTCTGAGGTCCTTTGGGGTCACCGTTTTGAGCCAGTCTTGTTTGAGGAGAAGAACCTATATAAGGTGGATTACTCTCACTTTCACAAAACCTATGAGGTGCCGTCCACCCCCCGCTGCAGTGCCAAGGACATGGTGGAGAACAAGTTCCTAGTCCCCAGCTCCAACTCCTTCTGCTATGAGAATGAGCTGGCCTTCCTAAGCCGAGATGATGAGGAGGAGGATGTAGGTGGTGGTAGCAGGGCACTTGCGAACCTCAGTCCGGACCGGAACAGCCGACATGAGTTTGAGCGCTTACAGGCCACCAGGGTGCTGGATCAAAGGTCATATCGTAGAGAATCGGAAATATGACCTCTACCCATTGACCCAGGGTCAACTTTCAAAAACTTTATCCAAGGGTAAAAATGCAGAACAATGCAAAGTGCCATAGGAAAAGCTGACTACTGTGAAAGATTGGAAAACAAAAAAGACAACAGGAAAGGGACTTAACTGGAAGGAACGGGGAAAGCAAGAGTACACAGCTTAGAAAATTGTGGTAAGGAATGTCTACAATCAAGGAAAAGGCTAGAGAAAGACCTTCTTCCTTAATGGAAACTTGAATCTTTTTTCACATGGTCATTTTGAGTTAAGAGTATTCAATGATAGTGCATCAAAAAACTATTATGACAGAACCTTATAATCAAATCTTAGGTGTAAATACATTGCTTAGATAAGTTATGTTTTGTGTGCAGTATCAGTTTCCAAAAACACCTCTAAAAAAATAAAAGTTGTTTTTTCAACTTGTTCTTGAGCACAAATAATAGTGTTATAAGGCTTCCCTTAAGCTCTCCTCGCTCCTTGCTGTGATATGCTGGACCTGCGTTCAGTGACACATTGAAAATTCGTTCACGGCAGCATTCACACGCAATGAGCCATGATAAAACATCTGACCTGTAAGCCACTGAGAACAACATAATTCAACACCTTCATTTTGGTTTTGGTGTGATCCCAAAATCTACCAACTTAGGGAGAGCAGGCAAAGTTAATTGCACTATAAGGTACAGAAAGGATTATGTTAAACAGAAATGAAATTGTTTAGAGAAACACTGTTTATAATCTCTTAATTTCTCTTACTTTAAAGCCACCAACATCATGATTTGGCTAAACTGGCCTGCACATATCATGTCACAAACATTGCTAAGTAGTCAGGTAAAACAAAACTAAAGCACAATTGGTAGACAACCAACTTAAATAAATATTTTGTAATTTCACTAACTTTATTTTTTGCAAGATACAGATTGCAATATTCATGTTTGTATTTACCAAATTAATAACTGAATAGCAGCAATTTGTAACCTCACAAAGAAAAGCACCTTACAGTGTACCTTTATTTTCACAACTTGAAATATTATCTAATAAAAGTTCAACTAAAACCTGGATATTGGTAGTCATTAGCAAGTTTCCTTCCATCTAATATGGAAATTAAGACTGTAACAAACTGGCGTAAACTGATTCCCTAATGTGTTTTTGTCCTCCTTAAAAATGAATCTATGCATATTGTTAAAAGTATTAGGGGACACAAACCCTAATGAGTTCTGTGTGAGATTAAATTATATAATGACATGGAAAAACATTAGAAAAACAAATAAAAAATGCATAAACTCAATTTCTAAGAGTAGCTGTTCTATATTATCAAACCAATTTGAAAAACGTTACATTAAATTAGTCAAAATTTCACTAATCGCCAAAACCTTTAAAATGTACACAGCAAGAATGCCAGAATGAGAAGTATTCCTGATGTATGTGTTTCAAACCACCCGACAAACATCCCTTCAAAATGCTAAATGAACAAGCATCATAAGGGCAAATGTGTCTACAACACTTTGGTTATGCTAATAAGGTCAGAATAGTCCAAAAGTATCAGCTAACTTACAGTAGCTGGCCCTAAATTTCATTTTACATCAACAGTGAGTAACTTTAACTGATCTTTATATTGTTATCAACAGAGTTCATCTCTGTTTCAAACATTACCTGCATTATAGACTAACGGCAGGGCAATTATATGGCAAATGTATCCTTTAACAGGTGAAACAAATGTGTGCAAGTAAGTTTGGCTAATAACTTATCACTTCCATTGCTGTCCAAAAAGATATATATGAGCAAAACAGCTTCATCCTTTTTCATTCCTCATGTTGATTCCTCTGGCATTTACAAACATCACATACTGTAGACAGCTAAATGCATTTTAGCAATATGGTTATACAATGAGTTAAGACACTGGACCAAGGTCTGAATGGAAGCAATAAACACTGAAGCACACCTTTCTGAATTAGTTTTAATAAATATGTACTTAATGATTCTCTTTTAATACACTGAACATGCATATTTATAATTCTTGATTCACAGATAACAAGTGAAAGGCATGATGTGAGGTGAATGACCCTACTTTATTTTTCCGTCTTTATTGTTCTTATATGTATGATTTCTCAGATTTGATACCAAAGTAATGGTGTGTAGCTCAGCCTTGAGTTTTGATGTGATTGTTCCCAAGGTAATCCTCCAAAAACAATTTAGATCTTGAAAATGGATAATCATATTCCAAAAATGTGTTTCTTTACAAATTAAAAACATGCCATTAATTACAGCAAATGCCCATTCAATCAAAGGTTAAAACCAAATCAACTAAAAGTTAAAGTTGTAGTTATAGACTCAATCATTTGCTATCACTATATAAAGTAGTTTAAGAGACAAAATTAGAATGCATGACAACTTTTTTTCTTTGGCATGAACAATAGCATTCAAAGAGTATTACCTTATTCTAGATACCTAGTCAGAGTTTATCATTCAAAGCTCAACATGTTTATGTTGTGTCACAAAATACTTTTTATCAAGTCCAGCTTATCTATTACCTCACTAAAACGTGGATGTCATGTCCCTGTGAAAAAACATTTAGTTATCTTTCACACATAAGAGATTACATATAATGAAGGAAACATATAGGAGATGGTGAAAAAGTACAACATGAAAACAAAGAGGAGAACCATAAAATGGTTGTTATTTTGGTCACAATGACTAATATTTTCCTAATAGTCATTTAACTCTAACAGTATGCTTGACTCTATGATATTTCTTGGTTATGTTGCTTTTTTAGAAAATTGAAGGATGTAGTAAAATATAAGAACTTGTTTGGCTAATAAATTAAGCGTTCTTTACCCAACCCTAAATAATTTATTATGCTCATTGCCTTCTGGGAAGGTTCTTTACACTGATGTGTGAAACCTCTGCACCTACTCACAAAATGTCAGTGGTAAATAGGAAAGTGACGCATCAACAGCTCTTATGCTGCATCACTGAAATGCATAGTTCAATCATTTCTACTGAATATTTTCTTCGGAGATTGTTTTAGCTTTGATGTTGCCCACCTGAGCCCTTCAAAAAGAAACACACACACACACACACACACACACACACACACACACACACACAAACGTTTTAGCTAAATATAAAGGTTTATAGTGTAAAAAGCATAGTAACATTATAAAAATTATAGTAGGAGCAGTCAGGCTGAACAAACCTGCTTATTTTTATACAAAATTCTTTTTGATAGAATACAGCAATCAATATGTATCTGTTTTTATCAGAGTACTACAATGAAATCACAATTGAGAGGCAAAAATATGATTCTTGTCTCAGTTTTCAATGATTTAATTTCTGTTGGTTCATTTCAGCAAAGATGCTCATGATTAAACAGGTATTTCTCTTAAAGGGATGATTGGAAAAACCTTTGACCTCTGTAGAAGTCTTCCTGTGTCCAGCAAAATGTCTACTGGGCTTTTGATTTTAATTCAAAGTCATTTAAATTATTCAAATAAAAACTAACTGTGAAAAAAACCATTGTTTTTATCTCTTTTGTTGAAAGTCTGGGCTGTATTGAAAAGTAAAATCCAATACACACCCTGGACATCCTCAAGCCTAATGAATGGATGAATTGGTAGCTGGGGTAATACATCACCATGAGGGGTGGTTTAAAATGAGATTATCAAGATTGTTGTCACCAAAGTCAGATGACTTTCTGGTCTTGGGCCAATTATTCAAGAAGGCTCATCAATTAATCACTGCGACACACAAACAACCAGTGGGGCCAGGGGCCTTTTGGCCCCACTGAACTGGGCAAGAGGCCTGCAGCTGATTTTGTCAGATCAATTCGGTAACAACACATGAGAAATCGTTATTGCTCTACTAGACCGTAATGTTTTAAAGCATTAAATGTCACTATGGACCTTTTCAACTGAAACTGTTATAGTAGGAAAAAAACAGTTTGGAAGTCAATCCGTCTGTTACATGAAATATGAATGATATGTTAGCTAATATTCTATTTTTAACATAAACACAGTACTGAAACAAAGATTTTTGATAGCGGTTGCTTAAACTTATTAAAGGACTGTAAGGCGACATTGTTTCTAAATTACAACAAGCATATCTTTGCCATTTCTGTACTGTAATTTATTGTTACTTAGAGGCCAACATACATACTAATATCAATGTGTAATAAGCTAATATTTGCCTATAATACTGGCCCAGCTGATTCATTGGTCATTCTCTACTGTTCAGTGATTTGGTTTTCAAGTATAATATAATTTGTGATTAAAATAACATTCTTAACCATCTTTTTCAAATATATAGTATACTATTAAAAATAAAAGCAGATTTGTTTGTTTGTTCCTCCAGGGCATAACAGTTGCACTGCTGCAGCCGGTTAATAACACTCCCACTCAAGACAAAATGAGAAGGATTTCATTAATATTTTTGTTAAGAATTGACACAATGCATGAAAAATGAAAAACAATCAGTTAAAGTAAAATTCTGACATAAAACACAGATATATGATCCAATGTATGGCATTTCTGTTACGGGGCCCCTGAAAGTAAAGAGTCGAAAGTGTTATGCAAGTACCCGAGCTTGCTAGTACAATGCCGTCATCAGCAGCACTGAACAAATTTTTGACTGGTGATGAATAATCCTGAACTCTTTACACGAGATCTGTGGCCATCAGTTCTTTCTAAATAATTCAGGTTGGGGTGATTAAGTCACCCACAGTGAGTGACAGATGTAGGATTAACATGCTGGCCCCTGGTTGTGCTGAGCTCAGGCGTTGGGTCTCAGCACTAACTGACACTGGGATCACAGAGGCTATGCTGGAAGCATTTGCCAAGTTTGATTATGTAACATGGCCCGGGCAGTGTATGTTAGGCTTTGTGTGGCTTGGTGTCACACACACAGAGTAGAAGTGAAGCTTTCAGGATTAGTGGTGGACAGCGTTAATGAGTGCCTAATGCATGAAAGCATTATAGATTTTTCATCAGTGTAAGACGGGTTGTGAAACTCAGAACTTGACTTTACTCTGAAAGTGAGTCATCTTTTGATAGCTGTGATTTCAAACTACTGTACTGAAATAGTAGTATTAGACACCAAGAGGTCCTGGATAATTAAGGGCATGTCAGGATAAACTGCCCTGCAAGTGAGATGGTTGCTATAATCCCAAACACATGCCATACAGATGGGATGGGCAGGCTCTGACTTCAGTTATTTAAATAATTCTCAGTAGGCAGGTAGTATGTCACGATATTCTTGTGTATTGTGCCAATGTAAGCAATAGTGTTATCAGCTTTTTTATATACATTATATTTCTACATATTCCTCAAGTAGAAAATGCAACAATTCAAAATGGTTTGTTAGCAGTTGTCTATATCCCAGAGCCACTGGTGCACCAGCCTCTCCCTTCACACTCACAGCTCCTGCAAATAAAACCTATTAATTACCATATGGAGGCTGTTGCCACGTAACCCGCTGGCCAAAAAAAAAAAAAAAAAGCGTGAAGCTGGGGAACAAACCAGCACAACCTCTACAGAGACCAACACACCAAGCCCAAATCTAATTTGGCTTTAGACACAGATAGATAGATAAATAGATAGATCGATAGATCGATAGATAGATAGTTCTTCTAGTTAGTTTGTTAGTGTTAGTTTGTTAGTTGTGAAGATTTTTTCCTATATCATCATGATATTTTGTCTAAATTACGCAACAGTAAGTTGACACCCAGGATCCCTTGGGAATGTCCCTTCTGTGACTCCCAGGAAACAGTTGATTAAGCCAGCTGGGGCCTGGACTCACACATTTGCTTACATGATATAAAACAAAAAACGTCACATCTACTAAAGACTGGAGCCGGTTAAAGGATGTGAAAGGATGCAAGGAAGTGGCCTCACCAGGCTCTCTGCCAGCCAGCCTATATAGACTAGTTATAATTAATGCTGGAACAAACTCCCTGTAGCCTGGACTCTTGATGACAGTAAAATGAGGGGAAATTGTGTTGAAGGGGCTATATAAAGCTCTTCAGTGTCAAGCCGCATGTGGCTCTGTGGCTAACACTTTCACCGCTAAAAGTACTCCCTGTTAGTTCCTGTGATAGTATCACTCAATCAAAGATACTTACTGGAGGTCTGAGGTTTATGTTATTATAATTACGCCTTCTCTACCTTAAGAGTATTATCTACTACAAAGGAATTTATATACATGAATGTATAAGCTCATCCCATGGTGTTACAAATGGGCAATGTTGTACGAACCTGAATCTGATTCAATTTTAATCAAATTTGTCATTCTAGCTTACACACTGTTAGGGCAAAGCGTAATATTTTCTATAGGTCACTAGATGTAGATAAGGTAATCGGATGAAGAACTCCATTGTTATATAATGTATATTACTATAGCAAAAAATAAAGTCAAGACTGGTGCAAAAATTTCCAGTATGATTGTATTAAGATGATCCAGAATTAACATGTGAAGTGAGTAATATATAGTATTGTATTAGAAGATCAATGATTGGTACACACATAAGTATAGTATAAGTAAGTTATTCTAAGAAAAAAAGACTTGGTTTATGCAGATGTGTTTTCTAAACACTTCAGAACAGATCGGTTGCCAATACACAAGCGAGATAAAAAACTGAAAAGATTAAAGCGCTACTGAGTTGACAGAAAGTACAAATTGATCCTTCTGAGGTCCTCAAGTGTGATGGGAATGTATCCAATGACTGAGACATGTTTTGTAGTCTGTTGCCCAAATGGAAGAGACACAACAGCCCCGTCCAACTACCTACGCTTGTCGTCTTGTGTAATAAGCCAAAAGAGCCCACTGGTGTTGTCCATTAGCTGTCAGCGATTTTAAAAGATACTAATGGGTACCCTTGGTTGATGACATCATCCTGTCACTCATCTAGGTAACTATATTGGTAGTTTTAAAAGACGACATTTACACACGTTACAGTAGGAAAGGGACATGTGTAAATGAAAAAATGAATGCAGAATTCCATTTAGCTGATTTGGTTTGCAATGTCATGGCTCACTGGGACACTTGAATAGAACAGAGCCACCATTAAGGATATCAGTGACACCTGTGCTTTTCTGATTATGACAGGCCAAAATGTCTGCTATCTATCAAAAAGTGTCACAGGCTGTCATTGTCTCAGCCTGCTGAGGAGAATCAGTTAATTACAAATGACAGAGCTAAAACTACATCAGAAGTGCTGATGACTCAATAGACCCTTTTCACTGCAAACATTTTGGCTTGTCAAAGGAGGAAAAAAAGCACAAGTGTAACTAATAACATTACCAATGGCTCAATTCCATTAAGTGTCTCAGTAAGCGATGGCATTGAGGGAGCATGCACAATACCAGAGACCAGGAACTAGCTCACCTTAATGGAACGCTGTCCTCATTAATGTTATTAATTCCACCTTTGACAAGTCAAGATGTCCACTGTGAAACAGGGTCTATTCTGAGAGACTCTAAAGTACAAGTTAAGTACCCAGCTAGGCTATCTCAGAAAAACACTAACGTTAGATTCAAACTCCTAAAGGCCCAGTACACC